TCTACAGTGTATTTAAAATTGAGTAATTTCAAACAAATGCTTTTGGATTTCGACGCAGTGAGTGCAGAATGTTGGGTTTCTGTCAAGAATTTTTTTTTCATTGCATCACTAGAATATTTGTGTGTGTGTGTGTGTGTGTTTTTGTGTGAATTAACTCAAAGGAATAAACAAAAACGGAGATAGTAACAGGATTTGTAAACTGAGAGGGAGAATGTTGCCAGTTGTGACGGTGTAATGCAGAGATAGCATCTTCTGGCAGCACCACCGTATTTGACACTTACACATCTACTGTATGATATTGCAAAACACTGCAGTCACTAGGCATTGCTTCGGTGCACAAATATTATCTTGCTGAATCTCAGGGTAATGTTACATAACTGCATACTTCACAGAAAAGAATAAAGGCTGTTCTCACCGTTGTGTGGACTTAGCAGCACCGGGTCTTTGGTTGAGCCGCTGGCTACAGCAGTCCACCATGCGCTTGAGGATGTACAGACACTCCCTGAACATAGTAAAGAAGGGGTAGTGGCTCAGAATGCACAGAGACGTTAATGTGCTGTTCCGGTTCTGTGGTGCTAGTCGACCACTGTGTTTGGATCGTGGAGATTTTCCGGTGCTGCCCGGCTCGCCTGGTGGCAATGTCCCATCTCCTGCAGGGGGCAGCGTAGATTCCCCTGGAAGAGTCAATGTGGAGGGGTCAAATTTCTCTGTGGCCTCCACTGCAGAGTCTGTATGAGGGGGCTTTTCTCCTGTATAAAGAAAAATATTAAGGAGAAATTATGTAGTGACTGCACCATTACAGCTATAAGAAGGGCCCTATGAAATCCATTAAATTTTTTCCCAAATTCTCAGCTTTTACCGATTTACCTTTTCTGGATTCTATTTTAATCCTTTAATAAAATGTTCATAATCAAAACGGATGTCTAATCAAATTAATAAATCTTATTAATAATCTATTAGTGCTCTATGAAATATAATTTTTTGTTTGTCTATTTTATTTTTCCAGAAATTCTGTTATGTTTAAATTTTTTTTGGATTCTGTGTTTTATAATTTAATACAAATGTATTATCAAAAACTGTGATAATCAATTAAATGCATACAACCATAACAATTTAATTACTATTTTAAAATACAATTAACTGATTACATTAATATGTTCTCAGAGCAGCTCTGGAGATGAAGTTCATATGAAATGTCCTCATATAGTGAGACGGAGATTCCATTTTATGATTGGATTCTGTCTGCATTTTAAAAATCACATCACTATACATATGTGATGCTCAAGATGGGTTACAAATGGTTAGTTGTCAACACCAAGCCACTAATCAGTTGAATTAGGATTAGTTCTGCCTTCTGCCTCATAAAACCGCTACAAAATGAGCTCTGACCTTTTCCTTCAGTTCGTGGGCGGCCTTCTGGAATCTGGAAAGAGCGGTAAAAGTTGAGGCAGATTCCATAGCGAGTGACACCTGAATCTTTGTCGGTGAGAGCGAAGACGAAAGATGTGTCGTCACGAAGGCTGACCCGGCGCTGACGGATGCTCAGGCAGCCCTCAGGCTGGCAGAAGAACACAACGTCAGGGGGCAGAGGGAACTCATTGTGGTCCTCCAGTGGATAGCGCCTCAGCAGCTGAGGTGTTTGTGCCACGCTGTCGCTGCTGGGTTGCCTGATTAAGGGAAAAAGACTGAAGTGAGAGACAGGAAGACAGATCTCTAGCTTTTCTCAGCCCCAGTGCTTGTTCTTTTATGCACTTTGTGTCAAGTAATGTGCAATGGCTATATATACACTGCTTTTCAAAAGTTGGTAAGATTTTTTTAAAGAAAAGAATAATTGTATTAAAGATGCAATAAATTGATCAAAAGTAACAGTAAAGACTTTTTATTATTTCAAATAAATGCTGTTCTTTTGAACTTTCTATTCATCAGAGAATCCTGAAAAAAAGCATCATGGCTTCCACAAAAATATTAAGCAGCACAATTGTTTTCAACATTGATAATCAGAATCATGTGACACTGAAGACTGGAGTAATGGCTGCAGAAAATTCAGCTTTGCCATGAAATAATTTTACAACATCTTTGTATTCTCACTTCTGAAATATTAAAAGTTTTACTTTTTAAAGGGGTCATATGATGCGATTTCAAGTTTTCCTTTCTCTTTGGAGTGTTACAAGCTGATTGTGCATAGATAAGATCCCTAAAGTTGCAAAGACTAAAGTCTCAAAACCAAAGAGATATTCTTTATCAAATTTAAGACTCTGCCACGCCCCCCTAAAACGGCTCGTTCTAACATGCCCCCACATATCTACCTCACTATGTGGAAATATTTGCATAATGCCGCCCAAATGTGCACGCAAAGAAAGAAGGCGTGGTTTCAGTAACCGCAGTTAGTGTTGAAGCAGCCATGTCAGGGAGACGCTGTGTGTTTCTAGGCGAAAGCAAAAGCAGTAAGTGCGTGTGCGTGCGCATGCGTGTGTGTGTGTGTGTGTGAGTGTGAGTGTGAGTG